AAGCAAGGAGTCAAGAAACGAAGCCAGAAGAAGAAGGGAAAGACAAGAACTCCTCGAGTCCTTAGTAGAAATAGCAGAATATAACCTAACGCGCAATCCAGGCTCTCCAATGTATGAAAACTTACTCTCTTCGGCAAAAGAGGAACTGACCCAATGGGCAGACTGGAAGAGAAGGGGCCTGAGCATCAGAGCAAGAATAAAGGACTGGGAGAGTAACGAATCAATGACAAAGTTCTTTTTCCAAGGAATCAAATCCAACTGCAGAAACAACAGAGTCCTAGAACTGAGGGATGAAGGGGGAACCCTAAAAAACCAACAGAAATAAATCCTACAAATAGCCACGAACTTCTACAAAAAATTATATATATCACAATCAACAGGAGAAAATAGTGGAGCTATCAACAGGGCGAGGGAAAAGTTTCTGAGACACCGTGACACATGTATCAAGCCAGAAGCAGCAGCATACTTAGACAAAGACCTCTCGCTAGCAGAAGTGCATGGAGCACTCGACTCCATGCAACCAAATAAAGTCCCAGGCATCGACGGGCTAACGAAAGAATTTTGGCAGGAGCACTGGCCTATGCTAGGGAGGGATCTCCTGCGATTCTACCAAGAAGCATATAAGAGACGGACATTAGGAGAAGACATTAGCACGGGAGTAGTAACATTACTATACAAGAAAGGGGAAAGGGAGGACATAAGAAATTATAGGCTAATATCCTTACTAACAGTAGCCTATAAGATAATAGCAAAGGTCATAGCCAACAGAATAAGAAATGTGACTGATAAATGCTTCCATTTAGATCAAACAGGATTCATCCCAGGAAGATTCATATTGGACAACGTAATCTGTCTGAATGAAGCAACCAAGTTAATAAGAGACAAGAAGTTACAAGCAGCCATCCTCTTCTTTGACTTCGAAAAAGCCTACGATCAAGTCAACTGGGACGTCCTGCAGCAATGCATGGAGAAAATGGGAGTGGGGACAGTTTTTAGGAGCTGGGTGAGAGTCCTGTATGCGGACGCAAGGGGGAAAGTCCAAGTCAATGGCCATCTATCAGATTCGTACAGAATGACAAGATCGATAAGGCAAGGAGATCCACTAGCAGCTCCAATATTCCTCTTTGTCATGGAAGCAATAGCCGCCTTTCTGCGGAAAGACCCCTCCATAGAAAGGCTACAGACCCTGGATGACGGACGGAATAAGCGGATCCAACTTCCAACAGTGATGCTATTCACTAATGACCTAACAGTCCTCATAAGAGCGTCGGACTCATCCTTCCTAGCACTAACTACGGCTATGGAAGCCTTCCAACTAGCGTCTGAAATGAAGATAAATTGGAAGAAAACAACAGGATGGTGGATCTCAGAAACAACCCCCCCCCCAAGCAATGAATCAACGCAGGGAATACAATGGATGGACCACCAAGTCCCCTTTAAATTCCTGGGAATCACTGTCACCCTGACAGGGACCAGCAACTCAATAGCAGCAAGCCTACTCGCAGCCGTCATGAATAAATATAAGGGATGGCAAAAGATATACACATCACTGATGGGTAGGGCGATAGTCATCAATTCGTCGATCTTCTCCATGGTCTGGTACACGGCGTCAATCTGGGACCCACCCACCAGCTTCACGAAGGACTTAAAGAGAAAGGCAGCAGCCTACTTATGGACAGGGGACGCATCCAAGAACCAATTCATATCCAAAGTAGCCTGGAAATATGTAACCAACCCAATAGAGGAAGGAGGGATCAGTCTCATAGATCCCGTAACGGAATATAAAGCTCTCCAGGCAAAGTGGATCTTAAGACTGTTGTTGAAAACGGAACTACCATGGCAAGAAATGGCCCTATACCAAATAAGAAACCTGCTTCCCTTTAAAACACAAGATAGCATAGAAGGCCACTCATGGATCATGAACAGATACTGGACACCCAGAAGAGAAGTAGGCAGACCTAGGCAAAGGAACCAGTTACCGAACTCTGATCCCCCAAGCGGCCACTGGGCAAAACTGATAGCAGCATGGAGGGAGGCTTTCCCACAAAGAAGGAGAAGTCCAAGAACAAAAGAAGAAAATTTGAGACAACTGCTGTTTGGGAATGACTTCTCAAAAGATCAGAATGGTAAGACATGGTCTCTCAAGGCGAGGGGGAAGAGATGGAGGACTTGGGTAGAGAGAGGCATATGGAAGATCGAACAAATATGGGATGAAGGAAACAGCAAGTGGAAATCAGAAGGAGACCTTAGAACTAAGTTGAGAGGCCATCACAGTTTACAGCAAAACCTAGAGGAATTGATAGACAGTATCCCAATAGCTTGGAGGTCAACGCTAAAAAGAAGTATAGTTTGGAAGAAAGGTGACTGGGCAACACTGAAGACACAAGAAACACCCTCAGTAGCCCTTCGTTTCATAAGATACGAGGGAGCTGATAGACGCATAGTCAAATTTGAAGTACATGAGTTGGAGAACACAGATAAAGCAATAGTGGAGGTCAGAAAAGACGCCCTAATCAAACTAGACTTTGCCCTACAAGACTTGAGGAAGGTCAGAGAACTTAAAAACGAGCAAAAAGGACTAAGGAAAGGAAGAAAGAAGACAGAACTCCCCACCTGTTTGTTTAGACCAAATAAAGACATATCGGAATTAGAAGTTGACCCCAACGAGTGGGGCTGGTATCAGAACGGGGGGAGAGGAAGGGCCAAAAAGTGGATCCCGCTGCACGAATACTCAGTAAAAAGGGGATATAAGATAAGACGCAAACTAGAAAATCCACAACAGATCATAGCGGCAAGGTGGGAAAAAAAACTCCAAATAGACCCCGCTTTCTGGCAAACAATCCCATGGTCCTACTATGCAACAATCAGGCCTCAGAAAGTGAGAAGCTTACAATGGTTGATAATTCAGTACACTGCCAAATGTGCCAAGAACAGGTAGCGGAAACGCTAATTCACTGCCTACTGGAATGCCAACATGCCAAAGCGCTCTGGCTCAAGTGCAAAAAAGCTTGGTCCAATCTATCTAATAAAGAATTCCCGACAGACCAATTCCTCCTACTAACAGCAATAGACAGAGAAGGCTTAATCCCTGAGGAGGATGAGGAGATCACAGAGTTACTGCGAAGAACAACCCTGTGGGTAATATGGAGAGCTAGATGTGGAAACACAATAGGAAAAAAGAAGATAACGGCAAATGAATCATGGGAAGAGGCAAAATGGTAATGGTAGAAACAGGGGTTAGAGTGGAATGGAAGCGAACCCTTGGGAGAATGGACAAAGAAATAGAGGATCAGAAGAGGACTAAAATACAGAAAGAATTTGAACAGCGGTGGCTGAAGGAGGGGCTACTGGCAAAGATAAACGGAAAAACCCTTCAATTCACGAGCTGGTGGGATCCAGGCAGCCCAAGAACAAGTCAGAATAGCACAAGCGCAATGGACTGACAGGAAAAGAAAACTCAGAGGAGGAACAAGCGCAACCATAGAATAGGGGAGGGTAAGAGGAAATAAGAATTAGTGACATGAAGAAGCAAAGGACCAAGGACAGCACTTCCAAAAGGAGGATCGGGACAGATGGAAAAACAAGACAAAATAGAAGAAGATAGTCCAAAAAGAAACAGCAGCAACACCAACCCGCCATGAAAGAAAGAGGACACACAATATAAAGGAAGAGAAGGGGAGGCTATTAGACTCAAGGCTCAAACATATCAACAACGCCCAGCAGACACCTCACTACACCCCCCAAGCCAACCCACCCACACGCATACTAACCACAACAAGTCAAGACGCCACAGGACAACCACACATTGTGCCCCCACAAGCCTCAGAAATTCCCAACTCCAACAAAACCCGTCCCACCCAATAGTAACACAGCCCCCCCCTTACCACCTTTATCCTCCCTCTCCCGCCCCAAGCCCACAACCCCAAGCACATCGACCCAGAACCCAAAACCTTCACCACTGCACAAACTCCCTCAGTCACTGCCCCCCCCCACCCAAACTACCCCCGCCAAGAAACCGTAGGCATATTCAACAGAGTCAACACAAAAAGTCGGACAGGGACAGACCATAAAAACACACTACAGCCAGCAAGGGTTCAGGGTTTTAGATTGAGGGTTTAGGTTTCAGGCTAGACAAGAACAAAGCACATAGGGCCTAGGATGTTAGAGAATTCAAGAGGTTCATAGACTTTCCAGACCGCTCTAGCATGACACAACAACCCGACAACACCACAGCTGAGAGGAGCAGGACTGGGTTCAGGCAGGTTGACAACAGCCAGACAGAAGCAAATAGCATAGGCTAAACTAGGCAGGGGTGAGGGGTGGTACATCCTTCTCCTCAGAGAAGTAATCAATGCC